GGATTAAAGGACTTATGTCTCAGCAAGACCTGGAAAAACTTATCCATGCATTTATCTTCAGTCGACACGACTACTGTAACGGTGTCTTTACAGGGCTCCCTAAGAAATCCATCAGACAGCTGCAGCTGATTCAGAACGCAGCTGCTTGAGTCCTCACTAAGACTAGAAAAGTGGATCACATCACTCCAGTTCTGAGGTCTTTACATTGGCTTGCTGTATGTAAAAGAATTGACTTCAAAATCCTGCTGTTAGTTTATAGAGCACCAAATGGTTTAGGGCCAAAATACATTTCTGATTCGTTATGAACCACCCAGACCTCTCAGGTCTCTGGGACAGGTCTGCTTTCTGTCCCCAGAGTCAAAACTAAACAAGGAGAAGCAGCGTTCAGTTATTATGCTCCATATATCTGGAATAAACTCCCAGATAACTGCAGGTCTGCTGAAACTGTCAGTTCTTTTAAATTAAGACTTAAGACTTTTCTTTTTACCATTGCTTTTAATTAAATATTTACCCGGTGAGAAATGAGTAGGTAATTGAGTGAAAAAATAATGACAGTGAGATTGAACGGAGTGAAGGAAGTGGTCTTAAATCTCGTGCCTGAGATTTGCAGGACCCTCTGTCCACCTGTAAACATGCAGGTGGGTCCAGAGTATAACTGGATCAAAGTTTCAGTGGACCCAAAGATTGCTATGGACCCAAGTACAGACTAGCTAGAGAGATCAGATTAAGTCTACTTCTCTGTCTTTTCAAAAGAGTTACAAAAAATTGTAACTCAGTTATTTGCTCAACCCCTCAGCCTGTTTTTAGTTTTCGTTTAACTCTTTTAAGCCTGATTGTACACTTCACTGTAACTTTTACTGTCCTGTTTTACCCTGTTTATTATTATAAATTTTTTTTTTCTATTTCACCAAAATTATATTTTAATGTGTATTTATTAAATTTCCTTATGTTGCTTTTATGTTTAATGAAAAGCACTTTGAATCGCCTTGTTGAAATGTGCTATACAAAAAACTTGCCTTGCCTTGCCGGTCAGAGCACTGGGTGAATATGTCTGGCGCACTCGGGCCCTCAGGAAGACGGACCAGCTCTTCATTTGCTTTGAGTCCAGGCACCAGAACAGGCCTAACAGGTCAAAATCGAGGCTGTCCCACTGGGTTGTGGACGCTATTCAGCAGGCGTAAGTGTTTTCGGGGGTGCCTGTCCTGTCGGGGTGCGAGCACACTCAACCTGTGGCATTGCTACCTCATGGGCCTTGTGGCGAGGAGCCTCCCTTGCGGCCATATGTGAAGCAGCCACATGGTCTTCTCAGTCCACTTTCACCAGATTCTACTGTCTGAATGTGGCAGCGAGTGAGTGCTGGGCGCATCTCCTCTATGAATGACAAAAAGCCTCGGCTGCGTGGTCATTACACTGGTTGTCGTCTCTGGGGTCAGCTTTGCGCCTTGTGGGCTGACTTGATTGGCCTACATGCATTCCTTGGGGCAGTCTTGCATCTTGCGGACCCTCTGCTTCTTAGGCTTGGCGTGTAAATAGTGTATATTTGTAAATAGTTTGTTTGTTTCACTATATGGGCTTGGGTAGCACAGTCTCCTCACGGGGTGTTCCCCCGTACATATGGAATATGTAACGGAGGAGGGATGGTCTCGACACGATAGAGAACGGATGGTTACGTTGGTTCTCTGAGTGGAGAGACTATCTCTCCAACTGCAGGCCGCTCGGAGACGGTTCCGAACTATCAGTGATCAAACTATCAGTGATTTCACACCGGCGCAGGTGCTTTATAGGTCAACTATGGGGCATGGCCGGGCAAGCCAGTGTGTCTTAGAGAGGTTTCCATGTACCTGACCTCAGGGGATCATATAAATATGGAATATGTAACGGTGGAGAGAGAGAAGGATGGTTACAACGTAACCTACTGTTTAATGCCAATGAAATGTTCCAGTCTTTGTAATAGGGTATGATGGTCAGTGGTCTCAAATGCAGCACTAAGATCTAATAAAACATGGTGGTAGGAGCTGTAGGGATTATTGATGATTATATACACTTACCATTGAATGTCCTGTTTTATTGAGTTTCCTACTACGTTGTAAAGGTGAATCTAACACATTTAACTGGTATTTTGGTAGAGCAGCAAAACATGCTACTAACACACAAGCCCCGGAAACGGAAATGAGTCAATAGCCTTACTGCAGCACGTGAGGCACTGGTAGTACTGTTCCTACATGATAGATAAGGAACTTTTTCGGATCACCACATCATCAACACATTTGCTGATGTATGATGTCACTGATGATGTATATTCCATCCAGTAAGTTACTTTACTGTAATTTATATTTTTAAAACTTTATTATGTGGTTCATGTTAGTTACGGCAACTGAGACTGCAGAAGAAGCTGTGTACCCGAGTATCGGTAAACGTCAACTTAATGTTACAACGCAAACAACACCCGATCCATGTCAATGTAGCTGGCTTGCATCAATATTGGCTAGTATAAACAAACCATTACACATTTGCTTTGTACCGTTACATCCTATCTTGCAGGCTAAAATCAACACTTTGACATTTGAGGAGTGGTGACAGGGCCAGGTGCAGGGCGTTAAAGTACAGGTTTAGCAGGGAGGTGCGAGAAGCTAAATGACTGTATGCAGAGAGACTGAAGAACCAGTTCTCTGCAAACGACGCCACTTCTCTCTGGAGGGTGTTCAGACAAATCACAAACTATAAACCCAAAGTCCTCCCCTCCATAAACGATTCTCGCCTGGCAAATGAGCTGAACCAGTTCTACTGCCGCTTTGAGAGTCAATCGGACACCATCCCCTGTGACTCCTCCACTCAGCTTCAGTCTCAGTCCACCACTTCTTCCCACCCCTCCTCAGAGCTGGCCAGCTCCACCCCCTCCCCTCCTCTCTCCATCACAGAGAGGGAAGTCAACGGTCTTTTCAGGAGGCAGAAACCCTGCAAAGCAGCTGGGCCGGACTCTGTCTCCCCATCCACCCTGAAGCACTGTACTGATCAGCTGTCTCCGGTGTTCACAGACATTTTTAACACCTCACTGGAGACATGCCATGTGCCAGCCTGCTTCAAAGCCTCCACTATCATCCCTGTCCCCAAGAAACCAAGGACCACTGAACTAAACGACTACAGACCCGTCGCCCTGACCTCTGTGGTTATGAAGTCCTTTGAACACCTTGTGTTGTCCCACATAAAAATCAATTACAGACCCACTCCTGGACCCCCTGCAGTTCGCCTACAGAGCCAACAGGTCTGTAGATGATGCAGTAAACATGGCCCTTCACTACATCCTCCAGCACCTGGGCTCATCTCAGGTGGGGATGAGTCCGCCTACAGGTGGGAGATCGACCATCTGGTGATCTGGTGCAGCCAGAACAGTCTGGAGCTCAACACTTAGAAGACAGTGGAGATGGTCGTGGATTTTAGAAAGAGCCCAGCCACACCCTCCCCCATCATCCTGTGTGACTCCCCAGTCACCACTGTGGACTCCTTCCGTTTCCTGGGCTCCATCATCTCCCAGGACCTCAAGTGGGAGCTGAACATCACCTCCCTCACCAAGAAGGCCCAGCAGAGGATGTACTTCCTCAGCTGCGGCAGCTGAAGAAGTTCAGCCTGCCAAAGACAATGATGGTGCACTTCTACACCGTCATCATTGAGTCCATCCTCACCTCCTCCATCACCATCTGGTATGCTGTTGCCACTGCCAGGGACAAGGGCAGGCTGCAGCGTATCATTCGCTCTACAGACAAGGTGATTGGCTGCAATCTTCCTTCTCTTCTGGACTTGTACCCCTCGAGGACTCTGAGGCCTGCAGGAAAGAGTGCAGCTGACTCCTCCCACCCCGGACACAAACTGTTTCAGACTCTCCCCTCTGGCAGGAGGCTGCGGTCCATCAGGACTCAAACCTCTCGCCACAAAAACAGCTTCTTTCCGTCTGCAGCTAGCCTCATTAACAAGGCCCGGGTCCCCCACTGACACTCCCCCCTCGCAAAAGATACAAATGTTTCTGCAAATGTAAATACCGTTTCATCTCGTGTCGGGCACAGACCTGGCTTGTCGCACGTATTTGTTGTTGATTGTTGATCTTTGTTGTTGTATATTTTTATGTTGTCAGTTAATATATTTATATTTACACAATATTCTCTTCCGTTACGTTACTTCTGCACGGCACAGACCCAGAATAACGCACATATATATATATCTGCAACGTTGTTCTTCTATCCCATATTTATATATTTCTACATTTATTTATGTCGACTGTATGTTTGTCTACGTGTAGCACCTTATCACCACAGCAAATTCCTCGTATGTGTAAAACACTACTTGGCAATAAAGTTCTTTCTGATTCTGATTCTGATTCTAATACCAGACACAGAATAGTAATATGTATTGCGTTAGCTGGTGAAGTAATGTGGCAAGCCATACAACTATACTATTTTATACTGGAGAACGTTAGCAAGTGGTCGGCATTAGCCAGCAAGCTAATGTTATCTAACTTGAGCCAACTAAAGCACAAAACCACAATTTATTTCACATGCTTTGCAGTGATGTTAGTTAGATGTTAGTCTTGCAGTGGTTTAAAGGCCTTTCGGACGTTGACTGTGTTCTCACCCGACGTTGATGTGATTCTCATAAAACTTTATTGTTCCGGCAGCTCCATCCCATTCACAAATAGGCAATAAAAAAGTGATTCATTTATAAATATGATATAGATATAATGGCTCCGGAGTATAACCTATAATATGATCAGATGTTATACAGCTAGTAGCCAAGCAGCTGGTCTTTCAATGAGCCACTGATGTTGAAGCAATAACTTAAAAGCGGAGAGCCTATCAGCTGTTGCAAAAGTGAATTCAGGATTCCCTGAACTATAGTAACTGAGTGCTCTCTTTATGAGTGAATAGCACCATAACAGCCATTTATGAATGTCACATGAAAACATCCATTGTGGACTAGCTGAGCATGACAGTCCTCTGTTGTAGACCTACCTGTTTCTTGACTCTACTCCCCTTGTGGTAGCTGTAGGGGCTGCTGATGGTGGCTGGGGTCTCGTGGTAATGCTGCTGCCGCTTCTGCTGCTGGTGAGGACCCACCTTAACTGCTGTTCTGCTCTCCATTTGTTCATTGCTGGGGCTTTCCTCTACCACATAATTGCTGTCCTACTCAGGACACACAGACAAGAGGTACAAAATAACTTAAAATTCAAATGCAAATTGCAACCTGCAGTCATGAATCAATGATATCAAATGCTAGAATTAAATTAGAATTATATTAGAATTAGCTCATGAGACCAATCATCTTACTTCCACATGCTGTAAAGAGTGATTGTTTCTATTTCTTACTTTGTTTGGTTGAATTTCTACTTTTGTGACGATCTGTGTCCTGCAATCAGTTGTCAGTCTTTCTTTTCGTTTCTTTGTTGTTCTTCCTCGCATGAAGCGATGTATCTGAAGACAATTACAAAACTATGATTGTGATAGTTATGCTCAGGGTAAAGAAAGATCAAATGTATACAAATCCAATTCTGACACTGTACACCGTAATGTTTTGGTTGAAAGCATTTAATACAAGAATATGAACTTACATAATCTAAATTCTTTATAAACCAACCTGAGGAGCTCTAGCCAGGAGAAGTGCCACATCTTTGTGGTTGTTATCTCTGGCCTTGTCAAGGGCTGTTTTACCTGTCTGGAAGTGAACAGTAAATCTTAAACACTAGAACCACTATGATATTTCAATAGACTGTATATAAAAATGGACGTAGTATCCATGACGTCACCCATTAGTTTCTGAAGAGCAGTTTTAAACCCGAATTGGGCGGAGCTGGCCAGTGCCATCTTGGCACGTTACTGCACGTCACTTTGGGTGGAGCTGAGGTGACGTGTTGCTGAAACCACTCCCACCTAGCTCCACGTAACCGAGTTAGCTCAAGCTAAGGAGCTAATGCTATATGTTACTCCCCGGTGCTGTACGGTGAAGGTTGGAACCTGCAGCCGTCTTGTTACCAGCTCACAGGCAAGGTAAGACACAGGAAAATATTAAAATAACTCACATAGTCATGGCTGCAATCACATTAATTAATTCCCCACCGCTATATTGATTAACGTTGATGCTGTCAGCAAGGCGGTGTGAGATTATTGTCTGGAATAGGACACGTGAGAGAGAGAGGTACTTTTTATATTGGTCACAAGATGGAAATGTATTTAGGCTATTCTAAAATGTTTATGCGTTTTGAGATACTGGAGTTTTTATTTCCATGAGCTGTAAACCGTAATCATCAAGATGAAAACAAAAAGGGTTTGAAATGCTTCAGTTTCTATAATGAATCTAAAATATATCAAAGATTCACTTTTAGAATTAACTTCTCCACAATATTCGATTTTTTAAAGAATCTGTATCGCTCACTTTTTATTTTTCATCACCTGAAGTATTTATTACACATTTTCCTCCCAGAGTCACACTGTAGATCAGATGCCCCACCTGGTGCCAGAGAGCTGCAGAGACCTGGGAAGCATCCTCACTGCGCTGTTGGGGTGGACTGGCGTGGAAAGGCCTTCTCTCCTTCTGTTTACTTTGAGTTTTTAATATTGTCCATATTTGTGTTGTAGGTCCATTTAAAAAAAGGTATGGTTTATGGTTCACATTGTAATAAATTCTATATATATGAGCACTCCCTGTCTTAACTAATCGTATACCACAGATAAAACATGAAACATTAAAGCTGAACTCTTGACATCAGTATAGTATAAGTTAAAAAGTGAAAATACTTCCAACATGTTTCACATGAAATGTTGAAGTAATTATGCATTTTATTTCTGTGTGTGCAGGAATATTTTTACTTTCTACCTTATACTTTAAGATAAATAAGGAGCCATACACCCAGTACCCATATACTGTATAACAGAGCCTGAAGTTTGAAGAGTAATTATGAATCCCACTAGGTGGTTTTTATGGTGACCTTGCAAACTCTGAGGTCTCAGAGCTGATTGAATGTACTTTTGCATTCTATACAATGAAAGCCACACAAGACCTTCTCAGAGGTCGCAATAAATGACACCTCGTACAGAGCTTCAAAACTATTCAGTATTCAGATAATTCTTTTTCACAATAGAGTAACTTCTAAGTCAATGTCACATTTTTCTCTTAAAGAAATGTCAAAATAAAACAGTATATAATATTAACTTTTGATTTTTTACATTCTAACATATATGCACTATATATAAATATATGTTAATCTACCTAAATACCATCTTAATATTTTCATTTACAGCTGTTATCTCTAATATATTGTTAAGTTTAGATCACACTATTTACAATTAACATATAAAACTGATGATGAATGAAAAATGTGATTTTATTATATGTATAATTAGTCTGATTAATATTATAACAAAGTATTCCTAATACAGAAGCAATAGTTTAAACTCTTGTGTTGCATTCATGAAAACATCAATATTAAAAGGTTACAAATGTAAAAGTAGTTTTGTTTGACTTAATATGTTGTAAGAGTTATTATAATGATAGAATCTGTTGATAAGAACCCAATGTCATAATTTAACATCAAAAGTGTTCAGGTGTTGTGAGTAAAAGAAAAGGCTGCGCAGAGCAGGAGCTGAAGAGCTGGAAGCTGGAGCTGTTGTCTCCTGTAGAGCTGGACACAGCAAATCATCTGGGGGGTTCTGAATCTGCAATCAGCTCCTTTGGCACCTGTAAAGACAACAATGGGTAGACAGTTAAGCAGCTTCTTCCAAAGTGCCATAAAGCTACTGAACTCTGAGATTGCCTCAGCATGAAAACTTCTCTGGCATGTTACAGTAATTAGGCGTGGCAATGTGAAATACACTGTCTACAAATACAGGTGCTGGTCATATAATTAGAATATCATCAAAAAGTTGATTTATTACAGTAATTACATTCAAAAAGTGAAACTTGTATAATGTACACTTATTTATTCATTTTAGCTGACGCTTTTATCCAAAGCGACTTACAATTGCTAGACATGTCAGAGGTTGCACACCTCTGGAGCAACGAGGGGTTAAGTGTCTTACTCAGGGACACAATGGTGGCTGTCTCATAGTGGGAATAGAATCCAGGTCTCCCACACCAAAGGTAAGCATTTTATCGATGCGCCATCACCACCTAATATATACGTTCATTCCACACAGACTGATATATTTCAAGTGTTCATTCACCCTAATGTCTAACACTAAGTTTAATCTAATACATTTTGGCTTCTCTCTTCTTGCTGACTTGTCTTTGACTCCTTAAATGCTGCGGTTAGAACACACTAACTCGCATTAACTTAGCATTGTCAGCCGGTTGGGGCTGCTTGTATCTGGCTAATTAGCGTAACGAGCTAAGCTAACAAGCTATCTGCCAACAGCTATACCTGTTAAATATTGATACACATAATACATAAATAAAATACAGGAATATCACTCACCAACTGGAACACGGACTTCCTGGAGTCTCTCTCTCCAATAAACCGATCGATCGAAATTGATCAAGCCAGATGAAACTCATCATTTAACTAAATGTGCCTTCAGGATGTTAAAGCCTGGATGACCTGTAATTTTCTAATGTTAAACTCAGATAAAACTGAAGTTATTGTTCTGGGGCCCAAGCACCTCTGTGAGGAATCTTGGAGTTATCTTTGATCAGGACATGTCGTTTAAGTCTCACATTAAGCAAATTTCAAGGACCGCCTTTTTTCACCTACGTAATATTGCGAAAATCAGGAATATCCTGTCTAAAAATGATGCAGAAAAACTAGTCCATGCATTTGTTACTTCTAGGCTGGATTACTGCAATTCCTTATTATCAGGCTGCTCGAAAAAGTCCATTAAGACTCTTCAGCTGATCCAGAATGCTGCAGCACATGTTCTGACAGGAACCAGGAAAAGAGATCACATTTCTCCTGTTTTAGCTTCTCTGCATTGGCTTCCTGTAAAATCCAGAATATAATTTAAAATCCTTCTTCTCACCTACAAAGCTCTTAATGGTCAGGCACCATCTTATCTTAAAGAGCTCATAGTACCTTACTACCCCACCAGAGCACTGCGCTCCCAGAATGCAGGGTTACTTGTGGTTCCTAGAGTCTCCAAAAGTAGACTAGGAGCCAGAGCGTTCAGCTATCAAGCTCCTCTCCTGTGGAACCAGGTTCCAGTTTGGGTTCAGGAGGCAGACACCATCTCCACATTTAAGAGTAGGCTTAAGACTTTCCTCTTTGATAAAGCTTATAGTTAGGGCTGGCTCAGGTTAGTCCTGAACCATCCCTTAGTTATGCTGCTATAGGCCTAGACTGCCGGGGGATTTCCCATGATCCCTTTCCCGTAGTCTTGTGCTTTCTCGTCCCTCTCCTCTCTCCTCCTATTACTTCCTGCAGGTGTTTCTGGCTCTGGAGCTGTGGAGTCTGGATCTGTGGTTGCGAGTCACCTGCTGCTACCATGTTCCTGCTCGACACCCTTTGCTACAATTATTGTTATACAATCAAGCACTTGGCGCTTGCCGATGGTGGGAATTGTTGGATCTCTGTAAATAATAGCACAAAGAGTAGGGTCTAGACCTGCTCTTTATGAAAAGTGCAATGAGATAACTGTTTTTGTGAATTGGTGCTATATAAATAACATTGAATTGAGTTGAACAAAATTGCAGTACAGGAAATGTAGGATCCTGTGCTTTTGGTGTTTGTCTGGATATGTCTGCCTCTGCTGCACAGAAATAACTTTTTTTGGTCTTTTTTTAAAAAAGAGTCCCCCAATTTCAGGGAAGTGCAACACATTAGCATTGTTTTCTGCTGGTTTAAAACTAACACTAACACTTAACACTACACTACACTATAGCTAAGTTTATGTCACATTCTGCCTGTCGGCCATGTTTAAGTTTAGCCCTCTGTGTGTTTTTGTTATATTTGATCAGTTCAGTATCTGTTATTTAGTATGTTGTGTTTTAGGGTTCAGGTCTGTTGTCCTGTGTCCAGTCTGTTAATGTCATTGTGAGCTCTGCCTGATTTGTTATCCATTTGGTTATTATCTCTCTGTGTTTATCTGTTCAGTTGTCTGTGGTTGAGTTTGTCAGTGTTGTCCTGTTACCTTGTCGTCCTTTGCCACTCTGTGTTATTAGTTCGGTCCCTGTTTGTGTTGTTGCTAACACCTTGCGTTAAACTCCCCATTGTCCTGTTTAGTTTAAACTTTAGCAGTTGGTCCATGTTTCCTGTTTGTGGTTGGTTCCTGGTCTTGTGTTCTCTGTTTTGTCTTGTGTATTCCCTTGTTCATTTACTGGTTCTGTTTAGCTTACTTTGTACCTGTCTGTCTGTATTCTGTATAGCCTTGTTTATTATGTTATTCATCCGCATCTTTAAGTTTACTTAGTATCTGTCTTGTCTCTTAGATTTAGCTCTGCATCTCAGCCCTGTGTCCTAGTTCTGTGTCTCAGTTCATGTCTTAGTGTTTACTTCTGGACTGTGTACTGGGTTCTGGGTTAACTGTCTCTCTGCCGGCCTGCCTCTCTGTTACCCTCTGTTGTCTCTGCCGGCCTGCCTGTCTCTATCTGTTCTGATCCCGGTCACCTGTGTTGCTCCCTCCCAGCTTGCTAACCCATGTGTGCATATATACTTGTTTGTTTCCTCAGTCTGTGTGCGGTCATTGTAGTGTGTTCACTCAGTCACGTTTGTCTGGTAGAGTGTTCTGTCTGCCTGTGTGGGTCTTCCAGTCAACTGCCTGTAAGCCTGTTTACCTTTTGCTGTTGTGGATTAAAATCCCTGAACCTTATCTCTGCCTTGGTGTCTTGCGTTTGGGCTCACCTCCTCTGCGCTCCTCCACGAACCTTGACAGTTTAAAATGTCTAAATTTGAAAGTCAGATTTGAAGAGATTTTTTTTTTTTCGCTAGTGGTGATGGTTTTCATATTTAGTTGTTGTGAATAAATGTGCCATTATCTCAGAGAGCAATAACAGAGGTTTGACGCAAGACTACACAATAGTATTGGTATGCGCACTAATTGTTACTGTTTAAATAGCAAATTTTGTGATATCAAAAAAATAAAATTGTGAACCTATGAGGACTAAGCATTCAGCTAGTAGACTTACATTGTTTCTGATTTTCCCATCAGTATCCGCCTCCAGTAAGAGCTGAACTGTCCTCTTATGGTTCAGAGCCGCAGCCACATGGAGAGCTGTGTCGCCTCCCTACAGGCAAACGCAGACAGATATACCATATATTATGTATGCATGTTTGTTCGCTTTTGTACAGTTTCTCTGTTGGTAACACTTTTTTCACCGGTCTATAATTTCCTTACTGTGTAATATGCTAGTATGAAAAGGGCTGTTTTGCATAATGAGTACTTTTACTTTTGAAACTTTAATTAAATTGGAGTATAATGGAGTATTTTCACATTGTGGTATTGATACTTGAAAGCTTGAGTCCAGAAATTTAACAGATACATGAACATCGGTTACATTCAAGCCCTTGCCAAATGAGTTCACACAGTGCTGATTAGCATACCAGTGCCAAGTAAATCTCACTGTACTCGCAGTATACTGGAGTTTTTAAATGTGGTGTCTGTAGTGACATTCCCACTCTGGTGAACTGGCAGTGATGCGTTTTATGCCAACCAGCAATGACTGGTTTGGCAGAGCTGAAGGGAGAGCGACCCAGATTCATATAGAGAGCTTCATGATCTGCCATTGCTCTCCACTGGAGAGAATGTTAATTATTGAGAACTGTTTATGTTGCTTTTTTATGTTGAATCGTATGCAGTAATGACAACAAATTCACTTGATTTGAAATTGAATCTAGATGGCACACCTCTCTATATGTCTCTGGAGCAACCGTATCGACGTAGTAGGTACAGCAGCTAGGAGTATGGCAGAGCCTGTAGCAGAAATAGGTTTCTGAGGATTACAGCAACAAAGAAGCAGTGGACAGCGAGGACAAACACGGATAACTATTGGTGTAGTTTTTCCTTGTTGGAGAGTGCCCAGAGAAGAGAAGGGACTCTGGGCAGACAGTTTGGTATTTGTAAAATATTTTTGGAATAGGATATGTAGCTATTGATCACAACATCATGTTAGACAGACTGAAGCACTGGGTGGGGATCTCTGGTACTGCCCTAGAATGGTTTTCATCCTACCTGTCAAATGGGAAGTTTTGCGTGTCTGTAAACAATTATGTCTCTTCGTTCTGTCCAGTTAAATATGGTGTGCCTCAGGGGTCGGTCTTAGGACCCATTTTGTTTTCCTTGTATCTGCTTCCCCTTGGACATATTATCCATAAACATGGCATTTCTTTTCATATTTATGCTGATGACACACAAATATACTTGCCCGTCAGATCCACAGACCCTGGAATGCTGAGTTCACTTAACAACTGCCTTTGTGAAGTTCAAAAATGGATGTCAAATAATTTCCTCCAACTGAACTCCGATAAAACAGAAATCCTGGTCATCGGGTCCCAGCAGATGGCAGTATAACAAATACTGCCATCTGCTGGTTCGCTAGTAAATCACATATTTTAGTCTTTTCAATGTTTTCATGCTTTTATCTTATATTGTTTTTGTATTATTGTCTCTTGGGTATTATTGTCTTTACACTTGTTAAAGCACTTTGTAACTTGTTTTTGAAAAGTGCTCTACAAATAAAGATTATTATTATTCTTATTACTAGCAGAAATCACAGATAAACATTGGTATGGCTTTTTCCACATGATGGAAGGCGCTGATAGCAGTAACGTTGTACAATGTGTTATCGCATTGTAATTTCATATAACGTTATTCTCCAACACTGTATTATTAAGCCATGTTTCCATCCAATTGTCATGTGAATTTTAAGTGTACTTGCAAAATGTGCGTTTCCATCAGCTTGTTTGGAGCAAATAAACAAGGCTACAGCAAGCGTTGTTACGTCAGTAGTTGACGTTACACATGGCTGTAATGAACATGACGTATGGGTTCCAAACCACAAACAAAACCAGTTGCTTGAACCTGATGGCAGGTCATCTTAGTGAACTGACTGAATGTGTGAGTAGCTAAAAATATCTCTGCTCTAAACTGAAACTCGTATATATGGTGCCTTAAAAGTGTGCGCTGGATGGCACACACAGTGTGTGTGTGTGTGTGTGTGTGTATATATTATGGCCCGAGCATGAAACGTGCGAGGTCCCTATTGAAACTGAAGGGATTTTTTTTTTTCTGGAAAGTAACCTCAATTTTTGGGGCCTGCACATACTCAAAAATTCACCAAACTTTGCACATAATTCATGCGGGGCAAAAAATGTCGTATTCTATAGGTTTTGTGCATGGGCTTGGCAAATTGGCTTGCTAGAGGCCCCTACAGAGCAGCCCCCGGACAAAGTTTCACCTACGTGTACGTAATTTCTGTGGTATATGTATCCATGTACAAAAAAGCCTCTTGGAGCCATTGGCTAAACCCAACAGGAAGTCAGCCATTTTGGATTTAATGATCATTTTTTACACAATTTGTACTTTAACAAACTCCTCCTAGGGATTTAGTCTGATCGACTTCAACATTCATACGATTAACAGTTGTACAAACGGTTATTACCAGTCAACCGGTTTGCCCGTGGCGTGCTTTCAAAAATCGATGATTTGCCATGAAACAGGAAGTTTTACATGTATAATTTTTTTTCCCCCAATTGCTGACAAGCGTTTATCTAAACTTAAGATCTCAGAATGATTTGATTTTGAGTCAGGTTTGCTGTGTTTTGATAGTTTGTGTATGAAGAGAATATTTTTTTTCATTTTGAAATGTAGAGTTGGTGTTTAAAGAACAAAATGTGGTTTTGAGCAGAAAATGTACTATTTGGCTAATTGTGTGAGGTAGGTGTGTTGCTGTGTTAAGAGATTTGATAAAGTATCTTAAGTTTAGATAAACGCTTGTTAGCATTTGAAAAAGCTGCTGTTTCATTATAGATTCTGAGCTGCTATTGTAGCAGAAGTAGATGCATTATACATTATGCAAGTTTTTTAGCATTTGTAAATAACATCAAAAACATCCATAGTTTTGGGTAAGATTGTACGTAAAGAAAAACTAGAAATGGGTTAAATGACTGCATATTCTGTGTAAATAACATGAATTGTGTTAATTGTATTGTATGAACAGACTGATGTGGTGCTAACTGTGTTTACAGTGCCAATATTCACTCAAACTCATAGCGCTACCTGCTGGCAACAGGTAATGAATGACACGTTTTACGCTGTAATGTACTACACCCAGCAGGTTGGACATATCAACTTCAAAACTGTTCCAGAAAACCCATAACGCATTGATGAAGCCATGTTGTATAACTTGTGAGTTTGCAGTTAGTTTGCAGTTAGTGGCAGCGAAGTTTCACGCTGTCTAGTCTAATCCCACTGATTATTAAAAGTTCTACAAACGGTGAGTTTTCGTGAAAAACGCCATGCCCGTGGTACAACATCCAAAATCAATTCTGATTAAGATCAGATTAAGTTGTTTTAACTTCAGTGTACATGCTCACATCTGCACCAAACTTTACGTGCTTGATAACTGTCAACACATCTACATGCCAATATTCAGTTATAGTCCTAGCACCAAGTGATATGTAGCGCCACAAAGGGGACACAGGAAGTGATGATTAACACCTTTGTGCAGCGTCTGAAGCGCGTGGCAAATCCACAACCGGCAGAGCTCCAGAATCTGCAATGGGGCCGCCTCATACCTCGACGTGCTACACATGTGAGGGCCCGCCCAACGCTGTTGCAACTTTAATTTTCATTAGGTTTCATAATACTCCCAAATTATTATTTCAGCTACTTACTCATTCAGTCGGTCCTGTATTGTCTGCCACACTTTTTCTTGCTGTTTTAATACTACGGCTGTGTTTCTTTCTTTCTTTCTTTCTTGTAAAATTATGTGCATTTTTTCATCGTAAATCATTATTTGCTGTTACTCACTGTGTGTAAAGTATGCTGCACACGTCTTTTCCATTTCAGCATCAATAAATCTGTGATCGACCGTGTGGTCTCCTGAAGAAAGTTGTTGACATGTATTTATCTGAATTACTTACACCTGGCTGGACAAAGTTGCTCCTACTGAGCCTGGTTTGGCCTTTGTCAAACAGATCTGACAAAGTGAGCCTAGCCTAGCCTTTTCTGTTGTCCTGGACTTCTAAATTCTGCTTTTGTGAAACAGCCCTCACTACTGAAACCTCTTAAACACACAACAATGGAGTATTGAAATAACACCCAGAAGAAGAAAATCTCCTATATGCACCAGAGTAACCACACATGTAGCATGTTGCATGACTCAAAACAGTGTGTTAGTGGTTTCACCTTCTCTGGTGTGTATGGGATTTTTTCAGTTGTTTATATGGGCCTTAAGATGCCTTGCAAAATCCTACTGATAACACTGACATACTGTACCTGGTTTCTCTCTGTCACAGAGCACAGAGAACTCAGCAGGATTTTCACCAGGGTCAGGTTGTTGTAGCGAGCAGCCACATGCAAACAGGTGTCACCCATCTGGAACCGAAACAGATTTGTTAGTTTACTGTTTTATCAAGGGATACCATGATCAATGATGTATCAGTTGCATTGTGAAACTATTCCAGTCCATGGTACTGGTAGCTCAATGGTGTCATAATGAAATCATTTTAAAATAATTTGTTATTCTCGGAGAACTAAGTGCATTGTGGGATGTTGGAGAACTCACATTGTTCTTGGTGTCTGGTGTGGATCCTCCTAGCAGCAGAAGGCGAGCAGTCTGAGCATGTGCGTTCTGACAGGCCAGGTGAAGTGCTGTGTTTCCTGCCTGAATCAACATACACTATAGAGTTACTATAGAGTTAATACAGCTGATCAGTGTGCTTTCATGTTGGATACCATCGTCTCAACAAATTTTAAGATTTTAACAACACAACTCATATATATTGTGATGCTATTTAAGATATTGTTATTGTAGAATGTGGTAACTTTAAAACATACACTTTAAGTTATTGTCACGAGGTCTCAACTATGACTATGCTGGGAGTGTCGGTATGTGGTTGTCTGTGTTTTTCTGTTGCTCGACCTCTCTTTCTACCCTTGCAGTTTGACAGGAGGCGTGACTGGTGGGGAAGCATGGGGATGGCTCACTCACCTGTCTGGCAGACTGATTAGCACACCTGATCCATATCATGTCGTTCTGTGCTGCTTCATAAGCCCTGCAGTTCTCCTCAGCCTTCGCTGGATTGTTATGTCGTATAGCTCTGGAGAGGTCGCCTTCCCTCATGCCCATACCTGCCTGTTTTGTCTGGAGGAGCATACCCTGCCTGCCGCCGAGCCTGCCGCCGAGCCTGCCACCGAGCCTGCCACCGAGCCTGCCACCAAGCTGAATCACTCACTCCCACCTTGTCTTGCTTGCCTCGCAATAAAGTTTGTGAAAAGGCCTCCCGTCTTTGTCTGCTTTTGGGTTCTGGTTAAACCACTTCTGACAGTACAATCCAGCCACTATGGACCCAGCAGACTTAGACGCGGTCAAACATGCAGTTACAGCGCAAGAATACACCCTCGGACAGCACAGTCATTCTCTCAGGGAGATCATGGATGGACTACGACAACTCACCATCAACGTCACAGAGCTACAAACTCAGCTGACTGTGGCTCCAGCGGCTCCTCAAGATCCCGCACCACCAGCGGCACCGATCGCACTGCCAGATCGGGAACCGTGGGTTCCTACGCCAGAACGGTATGAGGGGATCTTGGGACATTGTCAACCGTTTCTAATGCAGTGTGATTTGGTTTTCGAACAACAGCCCCGTACCTACGCTGTGGACAGATCCAGGATTGCTTTTGTTATTGGGCTGTTAAAGGGAGACGCTCTGCAATGGGCCTCAGCAGTATGGGAGAAGCAGTCCACACCTACCTCTTCCTACGCCACCTTCTGCTCTGAGCTACGCAAGGTTTTCGACCATCCGATGAGGGGCCCTGATGCTTCCATGAGGTTGCTTTCTCTTCGCCAGGGGTTCCGGAGCGTGGCTGAGTTCGCTGTGGAATTCCGCACGCTGGCAGAGGGGAGTGGCTGGAACGCGGTGGCTCTCCAAGCAGCTTTTTCCAAGGGTCTGAGTGATGCCATAAAGGATGAATTAATTTCCTATCCTGAACCTGTTGATTTAGATGCTTTAATCTCTATTTCTATTCGCATTGACAATCGACTCCGGGAGCGGAGGAGGTCTCGACACCCACGACAGGGGAGTGACATCACCCAGTACCGGCGCTTCCGGTTTCCAGAAACCGTTCGCCCATCAGGAGCTACCAGCTCTGATTACCGCCGTGCTTCCCCACCTAGAGAGGAACCCATGCAGCTAGGCCGCCAGCGTCTGGACCCTGTGGAACGCCGCGTCTCTAATCGGTGTTGTCTGTATTGTGGCCAGTTTGGACACTTCCTGGTTTCCTGCCCTGTCAATCCTTCAAACAGGCAAGCTCGCTAGGTGGGAGGAGAATCCTAGCGAGTAGAGCAGCGACCCCTCTTTCTCCTCATCCTCGCACTCAACTCCACGCCACCCTCACTTACCAAGGTCAGTCTAACAGTCTTTTAGCTCTTATCAATTCTGGAGCAGATGAGAGTTTCCTAGATGAGGTGTTGGTAGAGCAGTTAAAGATCCCCACTGTACTGCTAGATAAGCCACTTGAAGCTAACGCCCTTGATGGTAGGTTATTGGCCCAGGTTGTTGCCCGTACTTGCCCAGTTAGACTGCAATTATCAGGTAACCATATCGAACAGATTAGTTTCTTTGTTATTAGTTCCCCCTCGGTGCCACTGGTCCTGGGTAATCCCTGGTTAGTCTGCCATAACCCTAACATTGACTGGCCCACCTCTAGGATCATTAGTTGGAGCACTGCCTGTCATGCTAGCTGTTTATCTTCTGCCACACCCCAGTCTGTTTCCCGTCGGGTGACGGGTTCTGTAGAACCAGACTTATCTAATGTTCCTCTGGATTATCATGACCTTCAGTTGGTTTTCAGCAAACAACAAGCCCTGTCTTTGCCACCTCACCGGCCTTACGACTGCTCTATTGAGCTGTTGCCTGGTTCTCCGTTCCCTGGGAGTCGTCTCTACAGCTTGTCTAAGCCCGAACGCGAGACAATGGAGGCCTACATAAAGGATTCGCTGGCGGCTGGCATTATTCGTCACTCCTCATCACCCCTGGGGGCAGGGTTCTTCTTTGTGGGAAAGAAGGATGGCACCCTCAGGCCCTGCATTGATTTCAGAGGTCTCAATAACATTACAGTAAAAAACAAATACCCATTACCTCTCATGACCTCTGCTTTTGACTCTCTCCAGGGGGCGGTCATTTTCTCCAAGCTGGACCTACGCAATGCCTATCACCTGGTTCGCATTAGAGAGGGAGACGAATGGAAGACTGCCTTTAACACTCCCCTTGGGCACTTTGAGTATCTGGTTATGCCGTTTGGGCTTACCAACGCCCCCGCAGTCTTCCAGGGCATGGTTAATGACATCCTCAGAGATATGCTTGACAGATTTGTGTTTGTTTATCTCGACGATATTTTGATCTTTTCCAGAGATCCAGCTGAGCACGTTCACCACGTTCGCCAGGTATTGCAACGCCTTTTGGAGAATCGCCTGTTTGTAAAAGCGGAGAAGTGCGAGTTTCATACCCCTACGGTCTCTTTTCTGGGCAATATAATCTCTCAAGGTGAGATAAGGATGGATCCGTGCAAGGTGAGAGCAGTGGTCGAATGGCCTGTACCAGAGAACAGGAAACAGCTACAGAGGTTTTTGGGATTTGCTAACTTTTACCGGAGGTTTATTCGCAATTACAGCCGCGTAGCTGCCCCCTTGACTGGTCTTACCTCTACCTCCCGAACCTTCCAGTGGTCACCGAAGGCTAGTGCAGCCCTTTCAGATTTAAAGAAGCGGTTCACTGAAACACCCATTTTGGTCCAGCCTGACACCACAAAACAGTTTGTTGTTGAAGTTGATGCTTCCGGGGTCGGCATTGGTGCCGTGCTGTCCCAGCGGGCTTCTGATGACAAGATGCATCCCTGTGCTTTTTTCTCCCGTCGTTTCTCTCCTCCAGAAAGGAACTATGATGTGGGTGACCGGGAGCTGTTGGCAGTCAAACTGGCACTGGAGGAATGGCGGCACTGGCTGGAGGGAGCGGAGCGTCCATTCGTGGTGTGGACCGACCACAAGAACTTGGAGTATATCCGTTCAGCCAAGCGACTAAATTCCCGTCAGGCCAGGTGGGCGTTGTTTTTTGGTCGTTTCCATTTCACACTGACTTACAGACCTGGTTCACGCAACATCAAACCTGACGCACTGTCCCGAGCATTCAGCAGGGATGAGGACTTTTCTGCCACTCTGGACACTATGATCCCCAGCGCCTGTGTGGTCGGCGCCATCACCTGGGGGATTGAAGAGGAGGTCAAGGCGGCTCTACATGAACATCCTGATCCAGGTAACGGCCCTCCTGGCAGTCTCTTTGTACCTTCTCCTATGAGATCTGCAGTGTTGCTATGGGCTCATTCATCTAGACTCACAGGTCATCCTGGAGTCTCCCGCTCTCTGGTCTTCCTTCGCAGAAGGTTCTGGTGACCCACCATGGAGGCGGATACTCGGGCGTTTGTGGCTGCCTGTCCTGTGTGTGCCCAGAACAAGGGGTCTAACCAGCCATCCTGCGACCACTACCCATTCCTCGTCGTCCTTGGTCGCACCTGGCTCTGGACTTTGTGACCGGGTTACCTCCATCTGAGGGTCAGACGACCATCCTCACAGTGGTCGACAGATTCAGCAAGTTTGTACATTTAATCCCACTTCCTAAATTACCTTCTGCTAAAGAGATGGCGGAGGTCCTCGTCAAGCAAGTGTTCCGCATTCACGGACTTCCTCTGGATATTGTGTCTGACCGTGGTCCGCAGTTTATCTCCGCTGTTTGGAAGGAGTTTTGCTCTGCTCTGGGGGCATCTGTCAGCTTATCTTCCGGGTACCACCCTCAAACTAACGGCCAAGCGGAGCGAGCCAATCAGAAGATGGAGGTAACGCTGCGCTGCATGGTTTCCAATAATCCCACCAAGTGGGCTTCTCAAGTGTCATGGGTCGAGTACGCTCACAACACTCTGCCAACTACTGCTACAGGTATGTCGCCGTTCCAGTGTCTCTACGGATATCAGCCACCTCTGTTTCCTTCCCAGGAGAAGGACATAGCAGTTCCCTCGGTCCAGGCTCATATCCGGCGGTGTCACCGGACGTGGCACCGGGCCCGCTCCAAGCTGCTAAGGACCTCAGCCCAGTACCAGCATCAGGCCAATCGTCATCGGGTCCCTGCCCCCAAATACTCTAGGGGTGATAAGGTATGGCTGTCTACCAAGGACTTACCGTTGAAGACTGAGTCGCGCAAGCTTTCTCCTAGGTTTCTCGGGCCCTTTGTAGTAGAAAGAATCATAAACCCCATGGTGGTCAGGCTAAAGCTGCCCCGCTCCATGAAGGTGCACCCCTCATTCCATGTGTCCCGACTCAAGCCTGTTGCCTTCAGTCCGTTGCTCCCACCGCCACCTCCGGCTCCCCCACCCCGATTCATCGATGGTGAGCAGGTGTTTACTGTTCACCGCCTGCTGGACTCCCGCCGCCGTGGCCGTGGTACTCAATACTTAGTGGACTGGGAGGGTTACGGCCCGGAGGAGAGGAGCTGGATTCCTCGCGTTCAAATCCTGGATGCTACTCTGGTCAAAGACTTTCATCGTCGGTACCCTGAAAAACCTGGTGGCCCGCCTGGAGGCGGCCGTCGGACAGGGGGTACTGTCACGAGGTCT